ACTATACATGTACACAAATATAAAAGTAATTCAGCCAGTACCATTCTTGTAAGAATCAAGCTGTAATGAACATTGTGTTCAGTTTTTGGTGCAACACTTTGAAAGGAGGGGGGGGTTGTGGGGTTTGCTGGTGTTGAATGTATTGTTATGAAGATATTTGTATCAACATGAACAAGAAAGAAACCACAATCCCAGTTTGAGTTGTCAGTCATCAAGGCCTACACTAAATACAACCGACACAGCTCTCACCATGTCATATTCCAGTCTTTCTAATGGTGTTTTGCACAGGTCATGCTAGACTTTCTCATTGTCTGTCATTTTGATGGACAGGTCATAAAATTGTCCTCAATTATTATTACCCCCTTAATAAGACGTTTAATAGCATTTTTCATTTCAGTGCATGGAACAAGCTTATGTGCAGCCACTTGTGTCACCACCACATAAAGCAGATGACTTTTGTTTTTGGCAGTGATGGCAAAGGCCACTAAACGTACTACGGTGACTTTGCAGTTTTACAAAATTAGACACTTGCCATTAAAATATGAGCAACCCATTTATAAGAAGGTAGGCTAACTTATTTGACCTGCTGCAGAGGCAGCTGTCATTAGGGTTTTCATGTCTCCTATAATGGTCTGAAAGCTGAACTCGTGCTCTGCTGCTGCACTGGAGACTAGACTTGCCAACTCCACTTTGGCAAAGGTTTTGAAGTCGGAACATTTCTTGAAGTGGTTAGAAGTTCCTTTGAGCGTGAAATTTCTCGATTTCCCCCCCCGCCCCCCGTTTATCAATGCATACCAACCAAGTAGGCTGTAAGCTAAATTTAATGTGTATATTACCCTCTGTTTTCTAATTTGCCAAAATGACAGACGGCTTTCAAATTTGTCAATAAAAAAAAATTCAATTCAAAATGCCAATTTTGATAGGTTAGAGACTTTAATTTGGTAATAACTATGCACTGATGTCATGAGACATCAGTTTGCCAGGGTGCACCAAGCTTTTAATGCCAGGTAAGGAGAAGTGCTGTGTCTGAGACCTGTAAGCCAGAGTTCCAAGATGGCCCTGAGCTGGAGACTCGTGACAAATCTGTTGTCGCCAGATTCAGCTGAGCTTGCTCTCCATGGGAGCTACTCGGGTTGTCAAGTGTTCTTCCTCCATTTCTGGTTTTTGGCAGTCCCTGAAGGAAATCATGTCTAAACTGATTGTCATGGGGTCCTTCTGATGGTGTCTTTAGAGCTTAAACTCTTTGGCTCACCCTAACTACCAGTTTCATTTATTGTAAAAATGTTTTGCTTTACTTCAGGCCACCTTGGACATACTCAAAAAATAACTACATTACTAAGTACAAAAAACAGTGGCCATGTGTGCATAAGGCTTATTACAAAAGGGAATTTTAGACCAAACTGACAAGAGATGCCCATGTTGAGTACACAACCTTTGGTTGGCATCCTAAAACCTGGGGCCTATTGCACATGTGTGCATAAGGCTTATTACAAAAGGGAATTTTAGACCAAACTGACAAGAGATGCCCATGTTGAGTACACAACCTTTGGTTGGCATCCTAAAACCTGGGGCCTATTGCACAAAACTAGGATAAGGGATTAAGCCAGGATATCTTGGTGATCCTGGCTCAATTTATCCGTGATCCGGTTGCACTAAAGCTGGATTAGATGGTGGTAGGATGTTATGGTATAAATTACCATGGAGATTTATTCTGTGGAGCTAGCCTGCTCCAGACCAGGCTAAGTTCCAGGATTTATTTTATCTCATCCCTTATGTCAGTCAGCAGTCACCACAAACAGAAACCAATAGTTATTTCACTGCACACTATACATTGTTATCACATATTAGACCCACTAACAGCTCTTTTCCTGTAACCTTGACGTGCCTGCAGTCTGCACTGCAGGCTGAACAGTTAACAGCCTGAGCTAGTCAACCTGTCTGCACTAACATTCCTAGACAACAAATCTCTGAATATCTATCTAACTAAAAAAATAACCTAACAAGGTGCTAAAAAACAAACTGTTAGAAGGAACAATTCAAACAACACATTGAAAGTGGAATGTGAAGCACTAAAGACCCTTTTGTGAATGAATCCGTGTCTGCTCATCCTGGCTTGGTCTTTGTGCAACCAATTAAGCCTGGACGCACGTGTTTTGGATTCATTGAGCTCAGCTCAGTCATTTATCCTGGATGTCTTAATTCTACTTTTGTGCAACAGGCCCCTGCTCTGCTGTTTAGCTGAGGACAAACGCCCATGATTTGTCAGCTGTTGAGTGATCCTCTTGGGGAAAAACAAAGTGTGCTAGCAGCTGGCTTCATCTCCCATCATCCCTCTGTTTTTGTGTGTTCCAGGTGTGGGAAGGCAAAGGTGTGGTGAAGACAGGCAGAGTGATGCTGGGTGAGACCAACCCTGCTGATTCTAAGCCTGGAACCATCAGAGGAGACTTCTGCATTGATGTTGGCAGGTGAGTGCACTTGTAAAACAGTTTGTATGCAAGTTTCTTTTAGAGGTTGTGGTTTCACTTGCTTGGGTCTTTTCTTTGCATCATAGTCCCACCCACATAGACTAGAAGAAATGAGTTGATGCTCTGAAGCATCCAGTCACTGACTTCTGACAAAGGATGCTCATTGGTCCTCGGTTTATATAATGGTGTAAACAGATGGAGACTGAGGCCAACCTGTGTCCACCCAGCTCTGCACCATTAAAGCGGGCTGACCTGTACTTATGGGAGAAATGCATATAGGACTTGGAATGTCTTCAGTCAACCAAAGAACAATCCTATGAAAGACAAGAGAAACCCCCACTATGTTGGAGGTCCGCTGTAGCAGATGGGGACCCTGATGTAATGCTTTTGGATATAGAAGTGTTTCTTTGAACTGTATTTGGGTTGTCTTCATTGCTCCTTTCACTGTTGGTGGCTTTCCTTCTCACAGGAACATTGTCCATGGCAGTGACTCAGTGCAGAGTGCAAACAGAGAAATTTCGCTGTGGTTCAAACCAGATGAGCTGATCATCTACACAAGCTGTGCCCACAAGTGGCTTTACTGAACTACCCTGGGTCCTGGTGCAGTCCCTCAACACTGGAGACCATTTAAACTTTGGCCTCAGATCTCGTTATTTGCTTCTAGCCTAGAGGGCAGAAGAACATGACAGTTCTAATCTCATATCTCCTCCTGCACTCTAATTGTCATACTGTGCTGACTCTTCCATGTCTCATCCCATATTCCTTTGTGAGCTTGATTCTATATTTTCACTTAAACTCATGACATTCCTTCCTTGGCTGCACAGTTAATAACATTGTCAGTTTTGTTGAAGATGCACTGCTTTTCAATAAAATGTTCAACTCTCTGCAGTGTTCAGATTACACAATGTTCCATGCTATGTGACTACATGGGCATGTCCTAAGGGCAGCCCTGGGCAAAACGTTTAGAAGTGGGGTTCTTTGTCATGTGTCACTTAAGTTCTAAACAGACATTTCCCCTGTAAATGTCTTGGTTTCATAAACGGTGTTTTAAAACCAATGAGGTAAAATGATCAGGTTTTGTGTGTGAAATGTAAGTTCATCAGTGTCAGGATTTAAGAACAGTGATGTGCTCAGCTCTTCTAGCTCTTAAGTCTGGCAGCAGCATCTGAATGAGCTGATGTTGTCAAACAGTCTTCTTGGGAAGACCAGACAATACAGCAGTCCAGCCTGCTGGAGACAAAGGCATGAATGAGTTTCTCTAAATCTTGTCTGGACACGAGACCACCGAGTCTTGCTATTTGAGATAAGTTGATTTTAGTTATGGTCTTGATGTGACTGGTAAAGCTCCGGTCTGAGCCAGTTACGCCAAGATTTCTAACTTGTGTTTTTGTCTTTATAGCTCTAGAATCAAGCTGAACAATAACTTCTGTCCTTATTGTTGACAAAATAAGTCTTTATCCGAAAGAAATTTGATTGCACCCGCTCTGAACACTGACAGTCTAAGGGACCACAGTCACTTGGTGACAGAGCTAAGTACATCTGAGTGTGGTCTGTGTAACTGATAAATGTCATTAAATGATGTCACCCAAGGGGAGCATGTACAGAATGAATAGTAGCTGTCCAAAAATCAAAACCAGTTGGACTCCATTTCAATTTCGATACCTGCAACACATTCCAAAAGAAGTTGGGATGGTTGCATTTCACAAGTACTGAGGTAAAACAATGGAATGATGATTTGAAAAGGGTGATGTCACCAGGTGACTGCATCATGATTTGGTATAAAAGTGGCATCCAGAAAGGCTGAGCCCTTTAGGAGCAAAGATGGGCTGAGGACTGCCTGTTTTCCAACATACTGTATGTGTGAGGAAAAATGTTGAAATGTTAAACAATGTTCCTCAAAGAAAGATAGGGAAGCATTTGGATATGTCACCTTCAACGGTGTAGAACATAATTAAAATATTCAAGGAATCTGGAGGGATTTCACTGCATAAAGGGTAAGGGCACAAGCCTAAGCTGGATGACCATCCTCTCTGATCCCTCAGACTGCATCATGACCCGTCACTCTTCTATAAGTGATATAACCACATGGGGTCAGGAAACTGGCACTACAATATGTAGTTACATCTACAAATGCTGCTTAAAACTGCTGTGCCAAAAGGAAGCCTTATGTCAACAGTGTCCAGAAGCTCAGTCGACTGCTCTGGACTGGGAGGCATCTGGGACAGACCATCTCATAGTGAAAACGTGTACTGTGGTCAGATGAATCGGTATTAAAGGTGTTTTTTTTTTTGGTCCAGTGTGCTCTGGACCAAAGACAAAAAGGACCATCCAGACTGTTACCAGCAACAAGTCCAAAAGCCAGAGTCAGTTATGGTCTGGGGTTGTGTCAGTGCCCTTGGCAAAGGTAACTTACACTTCTGTGATGGCGCCATTAATGCTGAAAAATACACTGAGATTTTGGAGCAACATATGCTGCCTTCAAGGCGACATCTCTTCTAGGGACGCTCATGCATATTTCAAAAAGATGGTGCAAAACCTCATCCTGCCAAGGTCTGGCTGTGGAGGAAAAGGGTGTGAGTGCTGGACTGGCCTGCCTGCAGTCCTGACCTGTCCCCAGTAGAGAATGCACAGATGATTTACACATCACTGTTTTCTGTTTTGAGCTTACATAGTGTCCCAACTTTCTCTGATTTGGAGTTGTAAGTAAAAACTAAATCCTGTGTGGGTTCTTTCACATGTTGCAACAAATCAAAAGTTTCACTCAACAGAATTAAAATTTGTGTGTTGGATTATCAATATGAATTCATTAAAAAGAATTAACTCTAGTAAACTCATACAATTTACCAATCATGAGTTTTCTACAATTTGCTGCTAAAATTCCTCAATTTTTGTCAAGAAGCGTTTGGCACCAATTCATAAGCTTTCAGAACTGCAGTTTGTAGCTTCAGATAGTCCTCACTGCTAGTCATACTTAAAGCAGAAAAGGCCTCTCGTGCTTTGAACAAACCACTTACTAGTTATTGGCTAACCTCTCAAACACCAGACAAAAAAAGTGTCAGGATCCTTTTCAGAAAATGTAGAAAGCAGCTTCAGCTTAACTTACTGTATTTTCTATAAGTGCTGGATTCAACCGGTCTACTTTGTGTTTGGTCAAGCTCGCCCTCTCTAATGAAGTCTAGCTAGCGAAGTTCTAAGCTTTTCTCCTGCTGCTGTTTTAGTTCAGCTTGACAAACCATTAAACCTTTCTAGTTCAAGTTCCTGCTATTTAGAACAATTTCCCCATTCTAATGATGCAACATTAACAACTCTTTCTGCTGTTCAAATGTTAAAGTTTAAAGCATTTTATCCCCTGTGCACTAGCAACTCTTGCTAATACATTGTTCTCTATCAGGTGTGCCTTTAAGTTAGCCAACTTTTTTTGTTTGTTTGGAACAATTAATTTCACAACGCTCTGCATTTTCCAATAACTGATTTTTACTGTCCGTAAAACGCTTTGCTGGGCTTCTGCACAAACATCTATTGAGGCCATATATTTTGTAGCCAAACCTGTTACAACACTACATTAACTTGCATTTGCAAGGCCAAAACACAACCAGGACAGATAATCATCCAATCACCCAGGCCCAGAATCCTCTATGATACCCTCCCACACTACTAAAACACACAGATGCACAAAAATAAACTAATGTCCAGTTACACAGATTGTTTCTTACACCTACTGGTAATGTTTAGCTCCACTTACATGGCCATATGTGAAACACACCAGCAAAACACTGAAACAGGCTGTACCTGGATAATTCAATCAAGCAGGTGTGAGCAAAATATATATTTGTTATATTACATGTAATTGCAATTTAGATAGTGTGATTACTAGCTAAAGAATGATAATTTAGAATTTTCCAGCTACTAACACTAGCTATTTAATTAGAGACCAATGTTAAGTCTATAGCTGACTCTGATCCTTTAATAAAAATCACACCTTGTCCATCATTTATATACACTAAACCCTTAGATTCCATTAACACCACTCCTATTTTTCCATTATAATTTGTTTCTTTCCCTCCCTCTTACTGTGCTGAACAACATTCACTGGGTTTATCAACAGCCTCCCTTGCCTGCTGGATATACTGTAGCTTTTGTTAATTTCACTGGATGAAGCTCGCTATTTGTTTGGTCTCCAGACTCAATTATTACTTTCCATTCTTCACTGGTATCTTCTTTTCTGAACTTTTTCATCCTATCCAGCGTATTTGATTCACTCAGGCTGAGTTCAGTCGGCATATCTTAAAAATTTTCAGTGTTTACTCAGATGCCATACTCCAACTTACTTCCTCTCTCGCACATAACTACATTAGCGTGCTCGTCACTGCAGGCAGCCAAAAGCCATGGTTTGGCTAGATGAGGTGCCTAGCCTTCACTTCCTGAAAAGACTGAAAAAGGCCAAATTCCCCCCACATATTATGACAACTTTCTACAGAGTGGCAATAGAAAGCATCCTGACATACTGCAACACTGTCTGGTATGGCAGACAGAAAATACCTGTAGAGAGTAGTGAGAGCAGCGGAAAAGATCATTGGCGCCTCTCTCCCTGCACTAGCAGATGTTTACAAAGTGTTAGAAAAGTAATAAACATCATGATGGACCCTTCTCACATCCTCTTTGTTCCCCTGCCCTCTGGTAGGAGACTTCAGAGCATCCGAGCTAGGTCATCCAGACTGTGTAACAGTTTCTTCCCTCAGGCCATCTGGGAAGTGAATAGACTGCATAAGCTGCCCTCCATTCCTTTGGTTAGCACCAGGGCTTGAAGGAGGTGAACAAATGCACATGCACTTATTCTAATTGCCTAACACTGCAATCAGGGTTGTTATAAAATATGTCTAGCACTTTTTACGCCATTACTCATTGTGTTTTTAGGATATGTCTAAGTTTCAGAAGATGTCCACATACAGAGAGTAAAGTCAGAAAAATGTGTGCCAGCTTGTGCTCTAAAAGTATCATGCTCCGATTAAATACTGCTTAAGCTGAATTCATGCAACACTGCCTGTGTCTTTAAAAGGGCACAGACAGGGCAGCTTAGAAGTGGGTGGGAATCAAGCAATATTTATAACACCTGGAGCTTGAGGCTCACCTTCAACTAATGTTGCATTAAATGCATGCCTCAACACTGTAGAGACTGCAGTAGCACCACAATCAGTGTGCTGAGAGATACAATGAGAAGAGAACCGTGAAAGCTGAATTAATTGATGAAAAAAAAAACTGCAAATTGTTCAGGTAAGATTTATGAAACTAGTTAGTTGTTTTGGTTTGAAACTAAATTCTGGTTTAGTCCTCTGGCTAGTGATGACCATATGAGGCCCCACGAAGCTTTGAACCCCTTTGGACCATTGTATCGAAAATTGGTTCACTACTCGAAGCTTCATTTGTTGAGCACGTGGGTGACACCTGCTGGCGCAGTGGTTGTTGTACAGCCTTGCAAAGGTGACACTGACGCACCTTGTGTGTGCACTGAGTTTTGTTGTAATGTGGACATTACTTAAATAAAGCTGAAATCTAACTTCATTTTACATGTGTCTGTTTTTCTTCCTTGCCTTATAAAGTATCTGAATTGAAATGTTGACTACCTAAGTAATCCTCCTTCCCCAAGAACTCTTAAGAATATGACATGGATTTATAATTATTCCTCCCAAATTATACAATGGACAGAGCAAATATTTACAGGGTTCAATGAGGCTGTGGATGCAATTATGTTCTGACAATATAAAATGTGTTCTGATTGTGCTTGGTGTACACTGGGTGTGCTTGTGTGACTCAGGCATTTTTATTCAAAAATAATAGTGTCTCCACAGTGGATGGTTTCAGGTGATTTCAGTTTTTTTGAGACAACTTCCCCAGCTTTGGAGAAGACCCTTTCACAAGGCACAGAAGATGCTGGTGTTGCCAGCAACTGTTTGGCCAGGTTGAACAGGTATGGGTACAGGGATTTGTGCATCGTCCAGTAACCTGAAGGGTCCTGTGATCTGTCCAGAGGAGGAGCAGACAGATATCACTGAACCTCCACAATGGCATCTGCAGTAAAGTACCTGTGCTGCTTATTAGCGAGATGACAAAATCACTTGATTACCCACTCCCCTGTCCCTCCCTCTCTCACCCCCCTCACTCCCCCTCCCACAACAGGTGTAAATTCCATTCTCCCTCCTCTCCCAGGTCAAAGATCACCCCTTATCACTCCCCCTCCCAGCATCGGTATAAATTTTTCTCCCGGCCTCCCTCCCCTCTCTGGTAGACAATGTTATGTGTCTGTATAAAAGGAGAAATCTCGCTTTGTTCAGGGAGCCTCTCTCATTCAGATTGCTTTAGACACACTGTTTAGAGATCGCTCCTTCCTGCAAGAATTGCTGAACCAGATGGCTTGTCTCCTCCTTGAACTGGTATCCTGTCTCCTATCTGTCTGAGCCTTTGTTCCCTGCAATGTTATTTGTGTGTTTAAAAGGAGAAATCTCACTTTGTTCAGAGAGCCTCTCTCATTCATATTGTTTTGGACGCTCCGTTTGGAGATCGCTCCTTCCTGTGGGAATACTGACTTGTCTCCTTGCTGCAAGTAAAGAATACTGCTTAAACTGTTCCAGTGACTTCGTTGCCATCTTTGAAATTCTCATAACAGTACTTTAGTATTTTCATTTTGTGCTACTTCATTCCTTCATCACTACATTTTAGAGGTAAATATTGTACTTTTTACTCCATTATAGTTATTTGATAATTAGACCCTTTTCAGAATCAGATTAATCCAAAAATTTGAGTATAATTATATTCATATCTGGTGGAAAATTCACATCAGCAATTCAGAGCATAAGCATTCATTCATAATGCTTTTGAATGAATAAGCTGGTTAAATTAGCTCCACCTTTACCTGCACAGCACTAAATGTGATGAATATAATAACACTTCAGATTGCTTTAGACACACTGTTTAGAGATCGCTCCTTCCTGCAAATCCAATAATGTGATATATTGTACATTAGATTAAACATGCAATTCTGCATAAGTACTGTACTGTATGTTTTGATGCTAATACTTTTGTACTTTTACTAAAGCACTTTGTACAGGTGCTTTTATTTAAGTAAAACTTGCTTGACCACCAGTACACTTTGCAGGTCACAGGCCTACAGAAATACACAAAAATGATTTTAAAAATGCGTTAATGTTGCTGTCTCTTTTGCATGTGTGCATCAGCAAGCATGCAACGACCAATCAGAATCTCATTTTTGCATCTGGACTCTGACTTGAGCGGACCTGTTGCAAAGACGAGCTGAGAAAGCAACTCTTGAAAAGCGACAACTGAACATTAGATCTTGTTGTCCAGCAAAACCTCCACATCAATAAACTGCCCTAGAAACGCCATCAAGTTGACCATGTCCTTGAGCAGGCCTCTGCAGCACCCGCTGAATCATTTCAATCATTTCAACATACATGTAGTATGTATACATAAAATGTTGTCTGCTTGGACAGCTTTTTTTTACTGTATTTTTCCAGTTCACTTTACAGTACATTGTCAAAGTGAATTACTCATTGAAATGATGAAAATACAGTGTAAAAATATGACCTGTTCTCTTCTCTGAATGTCCCGATTATGGTGGCCACAGAGAATCTGCTCAAGTTAGGTTGAACTCTTTGTCCTGCCTCCCTCATTGTCATTCCATGCACGAGAACATGGTCTATCACAGTAGCTCTAATTTCATCTGAAATTACTGTTCCTGGTCTTATTCTTCCTTGTCTTTTTGTCCACCACCTCATATACGCACTCTTCCTCTATGTCTCATATTGTTATCCATAGTTGATGGATGTACCTGTGCCATCTGTACACTTTGAACTGGCTTATATTTTGCACCTGCTCATCACATATTTAGAAACAAGTGTGAACAATTTTGAATCGTCGTGTGTAAATGATGACAGCTGTGCTTTAGTTGTGTTTAGGTTTTGCTGTCCCGTGTTTAGTGTTTTGCAAAACACGTTAATCACAGTGTGAATTGTGTTTTTGTGAGAATGTTTTTAGAGTTCAGAAAAGGAGTACATGAGATTTTCTAACTGAATTGCTAAAACGCATTTCTTGAAACCACCACTCATTTTCTCAAAACCTTAAACACAAATCCAAATGCTCAAACTAAATTCACAAAACCTCTGACTCTTCTGGCAAAATCAAGCAATTACTTCAAAACCATTTTACCAGCACTCAAAATGAAACAATGCTTTCAGGTCATACACACATAAGTCATACACACTGCAGCTCATTCATTAGACACTAGATCAAATAATGGAGAACACAGCATCCAGGGCATGTAGTTACAAAAATAAAAGTTTATTGTATATAGTAAAAAACACACAAAACAAAAGAAAGCACACCTAAGTATGGTGAATTTACCAAAAACCATGTTACAATCAAAAAAGAAGAAGAAGGAGGAAAAAACACATCAGAAAGATTATTCTGTCTCGGGATCACGTCTTAAGCTGGGCCCAGCCAGAGGGTTTGATTTACATTGCAGGCAATGTTGTCACTTGCCAGACAACGGGCAAAAAACCCTCTGGTGTGGCGGATCCAGCCTTGACAAGACTGCACGTCTATGTCACTGCAGGCCAGTTCCATTGCTTGTAAGAGATTTTCCCTGGTATATGGGTTTTGGTCATAGACTTTCCACCGCCATGCAGAGAAAAGGGCTGTATGGTGGAAGGAACGCATTCTGTTCTTGGTCTTACTCTTCCTCGTCCTCTTCATCCGCCACCTCGTATTCCTCTGTGCACTTTGAACTGGCTTATATTTTGTACCTGCTCGTCACATAATTAGCCCTGTAAAGGCTGACACGTCAAAAAAAATAGCCAGAACATTCCAAATTTTAGGAACTGAGATGTTTATTAAACCTTTTACAGTTTTTTTTAAAACTTCTTCTCCTTTTTTTTGATCACAACATGGTTTTTAGTAAATTCACAATACTTATGTGATTTATTTTGTTTTGTGTTTTTTTTTACTATATACACTAACTTTTTTTTGTAACTGCATGCCCTGGATACTGTGTCTAATGAATGAGCCGCAGTGTCTATATACTATGATTGACTCGTGTCTGAAAGCACAGTTTGATTTTGATTGCTGGTGAAATGGTTGTTTGATTTTGCCAGAAGAGTCAGAGGTTTTATGAATTTAGTTTTGAGTATTTGGATTTGTGTTTAAGATTTTAGAGAAAGTGGTTTTAAGAAATGTGTTTTAGCAATTCAGAAAAACTGTAAGCTAACCTGCCTTTGTGAGGAAGCTAGAGTATTCTGAGACAACATACGCAGGGAACCTGCAAACTCACAAATACCCCTGTTGTGCGCAAGGTTTGAACCCAGCACCTTCTTGATGTAAGGCAACAGTGCTAATCACTGCACCAGCCAGGACCATTAACTATGTTTAAAAAGCTCAAATTTAGCTTTAGTGCTATACTCAAGCTATGAAGCTTAGGGAGGGAGGGAGCAAAGACATTGCTATGGTCCTGTCTTTGCCATGTGATGCCTGGATGAGAGCAAACTGTGTTCAGCACTTAAACTCTGACAAAAGTGTTTGAAGTCATAAGCCTTTTTTATTCAGTGTAAAAGTCAGATCTTACAAAAATCACCAGAGAAACTTTCACAGCCATGCAAAAACAATTTGCAATGCTTGTAAACAAAGAAGCCATCCATTACAACCGGTATTATGATCCAAACATTTGGCTTTATTTACAAAGTCTATCAAAGCTTGATCACAGCACAAATTTACCATATTAAAGAAAACTGGTATACACTATCAAAAAGATGTACAAACTTTAAACTGCAATCTAATAATGTACCTCAGTGTTAATGTATGGTCAATGTTAATATCAATAGATTTATAACTAACAGATTTTTTTTTTTTAAATTTGTATTCAAAATAAATTTTGCACCATAACCCTCTTAACTCACAATTATTTTCAGACAATAGTAATCCCAATACATGGTCATTTTTATCAAATATATATATATATATATATAGCACCACAATATAATGGTTTAATATATAGGGGAGAGTGGGCTATCACATACAAAAGACCCGTGTTAGTATCCCATTTAAAAAAAAAGTAAGAAAGAAAAGGAAAAACAGATCTTCTTTTCCAGCCTGCTCCTCATCACTGTCCACATCTGACAGAAGAAACTACAACCACAACTGAGGCCTTTCTGTGGAAGCGCATTACTGCCAGGAGAAGAAAAGGTGGAAAAGTCAAAATTATGAGATGGTGGGTTAACATTAAAATAGAAAATTAGTAAACTAACATTTTCAACAGTAAGCCAAAATTATAAAATCCTCTTTTAAAAAGACTGAGATACAATGCTTTTGCTTCAGTAGTTACTAAATTTGACTTGGTATCTCAATCATGTTAAAAAAAAAAAAAAAAATCAACTTATTCTTATCATGCTGGATTTTTTTCCCCTTTTTTCAGTGGAAACAGGCTTCCATAACTTCCTGTTCACAGTGGAAGAGGAAGAACACAGACTGAAGACCCAACCAACATGAACAGCCACAACAAATAAAACAAGCCCACCACGACATTGACACAATGTGCTCTGTTCTATATGCATTCACTTGATCAGTACACCCACTCCCAAACCAAACCAAACCAAAGTTGCTTCCATCTCAAGCTACTGATGATCAGACACTGAATGCAGATACCCATGGCTGGAGGTCAGACTTGTTCCATATTTACATTTAGGAATTAAGGTGAAACACAAAAGTTCAATATCTAAAAGTGAGAAACAGAAAAACCCCAAACTGTGCTGATTGTGCATCTGATTATTTAGGGAGAAGGGGGGGGGCTAGCAGCAGTTAATCCATAGAACAGTCTTTTTCTTTGTAGTATTTCAATGCTTCATTTTACCCTCCAGAGGACAGTGGATGTTATGACAAATCCTAACTTGAAACCTATCATCTTCCATGCTCATTTCACCTCAGAAGCTTAACATTTCAGTGGAGCTTTGTATCCAATCTGATCAAATAATAATAATTAAAAAAAAACTGGTAGAAACACATCCTGTTAAGAAAAAAAACAAACAAGAAACTACAGAAAGATGACTGAACCAAAGATGCAAAAAAAAAAAAAAAGATTTTTAATCACTCGAATGTAGAATTTAACATGAAGCCAGATTAATTCTAATTTAAATAATGGTCAAAAATGGACCAGCAAACAAGTGCCAAAATAATTAGAAACATAAAAGTAAGTCAGAATTCTGAGAAAAAAATGTCAAAGATTTTTTTATAGCGATGTCTTCCATAACCAGCACACTGATAGAATTGACAGATGTAACTCAGAAAATCATCTACTGAAATTTCAGTGACTTGAGGTCTTCAATTTCAGCAAATTAACTTTTTTGGTCCAATTTGAATTTTTAGACCAGATTTTGACTTACAAATTCCACAAAGATTTCTTTTTGTAGGCAAAAGATATTAACAAAAGAAGAATTTTTATTGTTATTGTGACACGTACAATAAAATTATGTTTGGAGCCAAGGGCCACTGCGTGCATACGTGCCACCATCACGGGCAACAGTGGGGTTCAGTGTCTTGCCCAAGGACACTTCGACAGGTGGACTACAGGGACCGAGATTCAAACCTTAAACCTTCTGGTTGGGATACAACTGCTCTACCCACCGCACCACTGTCGCCTCCCCATAGGGAATTCTAGTTATTATGGCACATAATTACAGATGCACATAATAAAGACATGTTTGAGCTTTTCAAACCCAGCTGATTCAGACTTGTATTTACAAGCTTCACAATCAAAATACAAACCAACAACAGCATACCGCCCACCACCCCAAAAAAACTTTTCCTGAGAATTGCATCATGAAGCTTACTGGTAGAACGAGAAATTATGGATCTTTACTGTCACTGAGAAGTTTAAATCTGCTCTGCCTTTCAGGCCTTTGGCCATACAGTGAGTATTCTCTATGTGAACCCTTGCTCACAAAAATCACAGTTATACATTAGCATTTAGATACATTTTCTCATATGTTAATTATATAAATGTAGTGATCATGACATTTGGAGGTGCTATAACTTTTAACATGGAAAAATAATATTATTGCATATCATTCAAATTTGAAGACTACCTCATGTGCTCCGATAACATGCTTCCATGTTTGGTGTCTAGTCTTAATGTGGATAATTTTTAGGTAATCATTTGCATATGCTAACACACTGCCATAGTCTATTTCACACTCATTTTAGCTAAATGTGTCTAGCATCAGGAGGTAGACAATAAACAGCTGCAAAAACCTCTCTAAGTAGAAGGACAGAGGATGAGTTTTGTCATATCCATGGATACAGGATTAGTT